AGTGAGAAAAGCCTTTCAGTTTAGGACTCAAAATCTGGACACAATAAAAGAAAAACTTGATAAATTCAACTACATAAAAATTAAAGCTAAATTTTAAAAGAGCTTTTTATGGCAAAAATAAAACTTCATAAGCAACATTTTTTTAAAAAAAGACAAGCAGTAGACAGAGGTTTATTTCACCCGTATTTAAGGAGTATTTAAAAATAGAGATTAAATATATATATATATATATATGATTTTATAATGGACAAAACCCACAAGGAGATAGTTCCAGGAAAAGAGCTGCAAAAGGACCCAGAAGACGTAAGAAGATGCTTATTCATAATCATAATAAGAGACAAGAAAATTCTAACTATGCTGAGAGACTCTCATCCTTCAGGTTGGCAAAAATCCAAAAATTTGAAGGTACTCTCTGCTGAGAAGCGAAATTTGAATATGAGTTAGGCGTTAGAAGATATTGTAGAAATGTTCACTTTGGTGGTTGCTTAGGAAAATGTCTAGTTCTTAAAAGATGTGTGCTGAAGTGTTTGGCAGTAAAAGGTTATGATGTTAGCAACTTGCTTGAAATGTTCAGAAGAAAATACACACACCGGTAAATGAATTAAATGGCACAGCATGAACAGTTGCTGAGTCTATGTCGGGCATAAGGGTGTCCATGACTGCTATTCTTCTTTCATCCGTTCTGTATGGCTGAAATTTTACATAATAAAATGTGAGTTCCAGTCACATGGTCTCGAGGTGAACTCGGTGAAGTGGAAGCTATCAGCAAAAGAAGCTAGCTCGGCTGAGACAGTAATAATTGATATTGTGGGCACCAGGCACTATTTCACCAGCCAACTCATTAATCATTACTGTCCCCGTTTACAGACAAGGAAACTGAGGCATCAGCAATCTGCCAAATCCACAGAGATCTGAACTCTGGAAGCTCTGCTGATTGATTTTTATCTGAGCCAGTCCCTGAGAACAGCTAATAGGCTTTGAAAAAACAGCCTTAAATCCAAATGTTATTAAATTGGACTAAGTTCTTTACTCAAGTAAAAGGATTCATTCAAAGGGTTAGCAGAGATCTTGCTAATGCATCTTAGAAACACCAACCATTTATAAGGTCTGCTGTCCTGTTCTCTAATTTAGACTCAATCATTTCAGACCCACTGAGGAGAGAAAAGAATTGTAATAAAGCAGTTGTGCATTCAGTCTAATGATTCACCTAGCAACCTGTCAATGCAAATTTAGGGTATTCTTTAAATCAAGGTATATTAATAAAAGATAACTTACAATTTAAGTGAAACTGAATCACTTTCAAAGTGCATTGATCTATTAAAAAGTTTCATAATTAAAGAAAACTAGTGCAACCCGACCCCAGTGCCTGGGTTCAAATCCCAGCTCTGCCAGTAACCTCAGAGGGCAATGCTGGGGCAAGTCACACACCCTCCCTTGACCCCAGTTTCCTCATCTCTAAAGTGGAGATGACTAGCACCCTCCTCTAAAGCTCTCCAGAGGGTTAAGTGATCTGGATGTGCTGTCTGGAGGGATATGTGTGGCTTGAGACCCTCTCCATCATGCTCCGGTGGAGCCACCCTGAGAAACTACAGCATGGCTTGGTCTGTGATGGCTCCACCTCCCACAACGCTAGCCCGCTCCTTTTTATGGAGTGTCCACTCTGTGCCAAGCCTGTGCAGCACACTGGGGACAAGATGAACGATACGTGGTCTCAGCCTGGAGAGAGAGGAACACATAAATCATCTGCAAGTACACATGAACAGGGCAGAGGAGGACAGCCAGCACAGGTGTGGGACACCGGAGGGGAGTCTGGGGAATGGACGGTACTTTTTAAAGGACAGCATCTTTTGGGGTGCACCACAATGGAATGTACTTAATGCCCCTGACCTCTGCACTTAACCAGTGGTCAAGATGATAACTTCTATGTTATGTGTATTTCACTAAAAAAGTATATATAGTATATGAATATGTAATCCATATTTTAATGGTTAATATCTTCTTGGGGGGGTCTCTAGCCAGAGGAGGTGTTCTTACACTGGTTGTGCAGATGAAGAAATAGAGGCCCAGAGTGGGGGAGCAACCCCGCCCCCTTCCTCAGGTCTGTCTGATGGAGATGGAAAGCTACCCAAGGCTGGACTCTCTGGCCTCAAGTCCACTCTGCTGCAAAGACACAGAGCAGAATAGGATTGCTTGATGTCCAGCTGGGGGCTTTTTCCACCACAGCCCCCCACCCACAAATGCCTAGACTGGGCTCTGGGATCACCCCCACCAAACCCCTGTCCTAGTTCTGGGACAAGCTCCAGACAAGGGAGAGGGTGTAAAGAGATCCTGTTCCTTAATCCCGTGTAGAAAGGGAATGTGTTTTCCTGGTTGCCAGGGGCAGAGGATGGTCTCCAGAGGGTCAGCGGCTGGAGGATTCACTGGGCTCCCATCTCTATTCTCCCCATCTCCGGAGTGCCAGCATTTTCTGTTCCAGTGAAATCAAGCTTCAGGTAGATCCCTTGTCTAGGTGGGGCCTTGTCTGGTGTGGCTGGGGTGTTCAGGCAGGCATGGATATATATGAGCCTCCCTGGGTACCCCTACCCACTGCCTCCTGAATATCTTGTTATCTGTGTAGATACCCTTCCCCTCCCAGCCAAGAAGGGTGGGGCAGGGATCTGAGAGCCCAGGAGGCACGTTTTCTGTGTCTTCCTCCATCCCCCAGTGACTGAGACCAACTCAGGCCCTCCTTCCAGGCACGTTAATGCTTCTCGGAACTCTCAGGACCATCTTGAGAAGGGAGAGGGATAAAGTCTGAGATGGTCAGTGCTGTAGAGAAATACTGATACAGAGTAGGAAAAGGGTTAGAAGTAGGAGTGGGTTGGGGGAGGGGTTCAATTTAAGTAGGGTGTTCCAAGAAGGCCTCGGCAAGAAGTTGACATTTGAGTAAAGACCTGAGGGGGTGAGGGAGTGAGCCATGGAGCATCTCGGGGAAGAACAATTCAGGCAGACACCCCCAAACAGAAACAAGCCTCACAAGAACAAGAAACAGGCAAGAGGCATCCAGACGGGAAAGGAAGAACACTGGCTTCATTCTCAGATGATGTAATCCCATACGGAGGAAATCCTATGGAATTTGAAAGAAAAGTTTGATACTATGAGAACTAGTAAACAAGTACAAGGTCACAGGATACAAGATCAATATATAGAAGTCAATTTTAGTTCCACACAGTAAACAATGAGCAAGCCAAAAATGAAATTGAGAGTATAATTCCAGGGAATTCCCTGGCAGTTCAGTGGTTAGGACTCTGCACTTTCACTGCAGGGGGAACAGGTTTGATCCCTAGTCAGGGAACTGAGATCCTGAAGGCCACATGTGACACACACACACCCCCCCCCCCCCAAAATCCCTAATAGTATCAACTAGAATAAAATGTTTAGGAATTAATTTAACAAAAGAAATACAAGACTTATACATTATCACAATATTTCACTGATGGAAATTAAACTGTAAGTAATTGGAGAGACATTCCATGTTCTTAGATTGGAAGACAATGTTGGTCTTCCAAGTTGATATGTAGATTGAACATCGCTCGCTCAATCACCAGTCATGTTCAGTCTTTGTGACTCTGTGGACTGTAGCCTGCAAGACTCCTCTGTCCATGGGATTCTCCAGGCAAGAACACTGGAGTGGGCTGCCATTTCCTCCTCCAGGGGATCTTCCCCAACCAGGAACTGAACGTGAATCTTCTGCATTGCAGGCAGATTCGTTACTGCTGGGCCACTGGGGAAGCCCTTAGATTCAACATAATCACTATCAAAATTCCAGCAGGCATTTTTTTCCCAGAAATTTGCAAACTGATCCTAAAATTTATATGGTAATGAAAAATGCCTAGAATAGCCAAAACATTCCTGAAAAAGAAGAACAGATTTGTAGGATCTTCACTTCCTGATTTCAAGACTCACTATAAAGTTACTGTCAAGATATTGTGGTACTGGCATATGGGTCAATGGAACGGAATTGAGAGTTCAGAAATAAACCCTTACATTTATGGTTGATTGACTTTTGACAACAATACCAAGGCAGTTCTTTGGAGGAAAGGATAGTCTGTTTAACAAATAGTGCTGGAACGATTGGCTATCCGTCCGCTTGCAAAAGGAAGAAATTACCCTTACCTCACACCACATACAAAAATTAACTCAAAATGGATCTTTAGCTTAAATGTAAGAGCTAAAACTATACAACTTTAAAAAGAACACACAGGGGGGAATATCTTATAAACTTTGTGTCAGGCAAAGCTTTCTTAGCTTGGTTTATAAAATTTAAAAAAAAATCAATAAGCTGAAATTCATCAAGGTTCAACATTTTTGTGCTTAAGAGCCACCATTAAGAAAATGAAAAAGTAAACAGTAAACTAGGACAAAATATTTGCAAAACTGAATCTCTTAATGGACTTGTGATCTAGTATTTACAAAGAACTTCTGCAGCTCAACGATAAGACAAACAACCCAATCAAAAGATGAGCAAGCCATATGAACAGATATTTCTCCAAAGAAGATATACCCACAGCTGATAAGCACTTGAACAAATGCTCATTAGTCATTAAGGAAGTACAAATGTCAAATGAGATCCATATCATCCCCGCGAGAATGACTGTGATCAAAATGACATATAATAGCAACTGTTGGCTAAGATGTGGAGAAATGGAACATTCATACCATGCCAGTAGGAACAAAAAGTGGGGCAACATCTTTGGAAAATAGTTTGGTGGTTCCTCAAAAAGGTAAATATAAACCAACTCGTGACCCAGCAATTCCACTCCTAGGTCTCCACCTTAGAGAAACAAAAGCATATGTCCACACAAAGAGGTGTGAGTCAGCGTTCATAGAAGTGTTATTCATGATAGCCCCAAACTGGGAACAACCTAACATCCATCACCTGATCACTGAAGTGAATGGGCAACATGCGGTCAGTCCACACTGGAGCTGCTCAGCAAGAGCAGGGAGCAGACGAACGACAGATGCTGCCATGTGGACAACCGCAGAGATGTTGTGACAAATGGATGAAGCCAGACGTAAGGGACTAAAGAGTGTATGACTCTGCTTCATATTAAGATGTCCAGAAAAGGCAAATCGACAGAGGCAGTGAGCAGATTAGTAGTTGTGTAGGGCTGGGTGGGAACAGGGACTACCTATAAATGGGCATGGAAAAGGCATCTGACTGAGGACTATGCAAAAGTTCTAAAATTGATTTATGGTGATGGTTGCACCACTGGTTGAAACGACCCCAAAAAGCACTGAATCGAACACTTAAATATTATGATATTTAAAGTATACCTCAATAAAGCTGTTTTTTAAAAAGCCTCTGTTCAAAGTTCAGGTTGAGACTGACTTTACACCTGGCCCAGGAGTCCTTCTGGGCTGTGGTCGGCTGGGACAGCTATCACCCTGTGGCCACAGAGTGCCGTGGGCCATGGTCCCACAGCACAGCCCCAGTGGAGCGTGAGTGCTGGTTCACACATCGGGCTCTGGCTTTGGTGTAAGCTCCTTGAGAACAAATAGCTAGTGTTTATTCTCAGAATCTTAGTAATCCTGGGGAGGGAGCTGGGGAAGAAGGAAGCAGAGTGGCCAGACCCTGCAGGGCTTCGCAGGCAGGACCTTGGAGGCTGTGGGCAGAGCAGTGGCCAGGAGGACGTGTGTCAACAGGGTAATAAGGACTCACTTCACCTGGAAGTGTGAGGATGAGATGAGCTCACAGTGCAAAGTCATAGCACAGTGACACAGAGTACGCACCAAACTCACTAGTTGGTGTCACGATCACTGTCTCATCCCCCATACCGCCGGCCCAGGGAGATGAAGCACAGCTCATTGAGGTCACAGCTGTCTGTCTCGTGACCTGCAGGGAGCCAGGCTCAGCAAACGCCCGTCCCTCGGGGAAGCCCCGGGGCTGGCGGTCAGCTCCCGGAGGGCATGGTGCCATGCAGTGAAGACAGGTGGGTACAGAGTGACCGTGACCGTGCCCGTGCCCCCCCCCACCACCTCGGCTCCTCACCTGGTGATGGGCAAATAGCGGCAGCACCTCCTACAGGGGTCACTGAGGGTACGGCCGAGCCAGTGAGGCCAAAGTCCAGGGCCTGGAGTCAGCGTCTCGCAAACTGCACCACCTATCCCGAGGCTTTTATTTGGCAGATATTTACTGACACACAGTAGACCATGCCAGCTGGGACGCAGGGTGAATGAGACATACTTCCCCAGACCACACACACAGACATGCACAGAAGCACACACACACACACACAGACACATGGACATACACACATGTGCATGGAGACACACAGACATAGAGACACAAATATACACAGACATCTACACACAGATGCACAAGTAAACACACACAGACCCAGATACATATACCATTCAATTCAGTTCAGTCGCTCAGTCATGTCTGACTCTTTGCGACCCCATGGACTGCAGCACAGCAGCTTTCCCTGTCCACCACCAACTCTCGGAGCTTACTCAAACTCATGTGCATCGAGTCGGTGATGCCATCCGACCATCTCGTCCTCTGTCGTCCCCTTCTCCTCCTGCCTTCAATCTTCCCCAGCATCAGGGTCTTTTCAAATGAGTCAGTTTTTTGCATCAGATGGCCAAAGTATTGGAGTTTCAGCTTCATCATCAGTCCTTCCAATGAATATTCACGACTGATTTCCTTTAGGATGGACTAATTGGATTTCCATGCAGTCCAAGGGACTCTCAAAAGTTTTCTCCAACACCACAGTTCAAAAGCAGCAATTACTAACATATACCATTAGTAAGTTCTGATTGTCAAAGCATCAAATTCCAGAATGGGGGTAGTGTTTATAAAATTCCTTTTGTGGAAGTGAACACAACAGGTGACCCGTGGGACTGACTTGGTCAAGGATAAGCTGGGTGGCTCTTCTAGTTCCTAACTGACAGGTTTCTTTGATGAAGAGGCAGGAGAACCTTCAACCCACCTGGTCCTAGCCCTGGCAAAGTAACCATCCCAAAAAGAAAGAGAGATTATGACACTGTGGATATTTCTCTGACTTTATAAAAAAAATTTTTTTTTTTTCATTTTCCCAGACAGAACTCAGCACTGTCAACTTTAAAAAGCAGAGAATCGTGAAACTTCCCTGACAGTCCAGGTTAAGAATCCTCACTTCCAGTGCCGGGGGCACAAGTTCGATCCCTGTTCAAGGAACTAAGATCCCATAAACTGACTGGCTTGGCCTTAAACAAATAAATAAAATAAAATTAGAGACCTGGTCACATTAGCTCCCACCCCACATACCGTGAGGCAGGTTGGTTCCTGCTCCCGGTTGTTGGTGGGGAGCCCAGAGCAGGGTTCTCAGTCCTGGCCACACACCGGAGCCCCTGGGTTCAAAGTCCTGACACCTGGGTCCTATCCCCAGCGCTTCTAGTGTAACTCTTCTAGGTGGGGCCTCAGTGCTGAGACTTTCCATATCTGCCCAAGGGCTCTAATGTCCAGCCAGGGCTGAAAACTACAGACCTAAAGGATTATCTTTAATGTCCAGCATCTGCTGCTGAGGGAAAAAGCAGATGGTAGTTTTGTCATGCTGTATATTCATTCGATGTGATATATTCATTCAATATACTCAGTGTATATTCATTCAACGTGGAAGTGTTAGTTAAATGCTCAGTCGTGTCCGACTCTTTGCAATTCCATGGCCTGTAGCCAGCCAGGCTCCTCTGTCCATGGGATTCTCCAGGAAAGAATACTGGAGTGAGCAGCCATTCCCTTCTGAGGGGATCTTCCCGATCCAGGGATCGAACCCAGGTCTTCTGCATTGCAGGCAGATCCTCTGCATGGGAGCCACCAGGGAAGCCCCATATGTATATAGATTGTATGTAGATGTATATAGAGCTTCTGTTTTTTCAAAGATAGTGTGTATGTGTGTGGGGTGGGGGGTCGGGGCGCTACAGTCAGTCACTCAGGACAGAGGTGGTGGGGCTTCAGCCAAACCCACACAACGTCCTTCTGGATGGGGAGGTGAGGCACTTTCAATTTTCAGAGTGTGTGCCTCTCAAGCAGTGACATTTTCCACTCCAAGCACGTGTCGTTTTAAAAATTATTAATAAAGAGAAATAAAGCCGCCACGCCTTGAGCTTCTCTCACTTCCCTTTTCTTTACCTATTCGGGGGACAGGAAACACCCATAAATAGCTGGTGGGAAGAAGAAGTCAAGGTGAAGGTTGAGTCAGTGAGCCGAAGCCAGCCGGGGCCGAGTTGTCTGGCTCAGCCCTCCAAAACCCCTTCCAAAGTCCCCAGGTCCGTTCCAGGCCAGCAGGTTGAACCCTGCAAAGGGTCAGGGCATCCCAGCAGCAGGGAGTTCTTGGAGCAGACCCCGAGAGCCAGGAGGGGGCCTGGATTCCAGCTCTGGAGCCAGCCGGCCCTTGGAGACCGGCCTCGGGGCTCCACTGGGTCACGTCCTGGGGCCAATTCATCCTGGTGACCTCCCTCTGACACAGTCACCCGGCCCTGCCTCTGGGCGTTTCAGAGGAAAGTCCAGACAGGGCTACAGAGAGCCCAGGAGGGCCGTGTTATCTGATGAGACCTCCACACAGCCCGGGGCCACACAGAGCTCCAAGGGCTCCAGCAGGAGCGCCCAGCTGCTGCCGAGGGCGCCCAGGCCAGGCTCAGGGTACCCAGGCACTCGTCCTAAGCCACACAGGCCCCTGGTTTCAGGACACAGCAGCTTGCGGCCCACAAAGCCGGGCTGAGGTCCGTCCCTCACTCACACTGTTCTGGGGACTCTGCGTGGTGGTCTCTCCACTGCTAGACAGAGAGCAGGGGCCCTGGCAATGGGACCCCCAGGAAACCTAAGCACTGAGAAACCCCAGGCCCAGCCCCAGGAATGCCAAGGCCTCATCACCTGTTGCCCCACCTATAAGAATAGGAAATGACATCACCAAGTCACCTGCTCCAGGTCAGCTGCTTAGAGAAAGGAAAGCGTCATCTGCCTTCCGAGGGACAGTGTTATTATTTTCCTCATTTACAGCCAAGAAAACTGGAGCTGAGAGTCATTTGGGCACATGGCCTGTGTCCCCACAAACAGGGTGAAGCCAGACTGAACTCAAGACCGCCATCCTGAAGGGCAGGCCCTACAGTGCTCTCAGAGTGCCTGGATGCAGCAGGGGCAGAGGGCTTCCTTCCAGCCCTGGCCGCCTCCCCCCCAGTCCTCAGCCTCAGGCATTCACCAGGAAGGCCAGGAGAAGGTGCTGGATGCGGCGGATCATAGCTGGCCTCAGCCTTGCAGACCGTGTGTGTGGGCTGAGCCAGAATGGACTGGACGAAGGGCCCCTGGAGAGCCAGCCTCCAGGCCAGGAGCCAGGCGGACCTCTGGCTCTCAGGCCAGGACAAGGGCGTCCCTTCCCGCCTCCCTCTTTCTTAGAAGTCCTCTCAGGGCTGCACTTCCTGAAGTTTCTGCTGTGGTGCCAGCAACCTGCCTAAGCCCTCATCCCCTGGGCCTCCTCTCCAGAACCCAGAGGGGCAGGGTCACAAGAGGCTGGTGCCGTGGGTTCAGGGGAAGAGAACACGCATCCAAGGCCCTCCAGGGCTCTGTCTCCACTTCACCCATTAGCCGGTGGCCTTACAGACGTGGCCCCTCAGTGCCTTGGGTTCTTCATCTGTCAGTGGAGTTGACGGTGACAGCGGCTCTGCGGTGCTTGCTTGCAGACTGAACGAGGACAGGCTTTGACAGGGAACCGAGCACCTTCCTTGGGCTACTTATTGTTGTAACTGCTGGGTGTGGATGTGCGTTTCCTAATGAATTCTTCCCAACAGCCAGATGAAGTAGAAATTAATATTTTCCCCATTTTATAGCCATGGCACAGAGACGCAGGGACAGAAGGTAGCGGTCACAAGTAGAACAGTGCCATTGGCAGCAAAATGGAAGGACCTAGAGATTGTCATCCTAAGTGAAGTCAGACAGAGAAAGACAAATATCATGATATCACTGATATGTGGAATCTAAAAAAATGTCACAAACGAACTCACAAAATATCAAGACTCACAGGCTTCACAAACAAGCATGGGGTTAAAAGGCAAAGGTTGGCGGGGAGAGATAAATTAGGAGTTTGTGGTTAACATATACACCCTCCTGTATATAAGATAGACAGCCAACGAGGACCTCCTATATAGCACAGGGAGCTCTCTTTGGCATTCTGTAACAACCTATGCCGGGAAGAACTTGAGAAAGAATAGATACATGTACATGCACAACTGAGTCACTGGGCTGTACCCTGAAGCTAACACAACGTTGTAAATCGACTATACTCCAGTGTAAAATAAAAATTAAATTAAAGAACTTTTTTAAAAGGTTTGTGGTAGAGCTGGGAGGAGTTGAGCCGAGGGGACAGGGTTTACACTTTGCCTCCAATGAGTAATAACACTACGTCATAGACTTCCCATGGACTGTGATCCACACAGGGATAGACCTGGCTGTATACCGGTCCCAGCACCTGGTAGGGCACCTGTCACAGAGGAGGCACTCTGGGTACAAGAAGGCTCTGGATGGACAGTGCCGATGTTTGGAGAGGAAGTAACCTGGGCTGTGGACGGAAACACACCCCATTTGCCAGCCCTGCCACTCCCAGCTCCGTGACTTCACATCCCACTTAGAACCTCAGCCTCTTCATTGCAAAAGGCAGTGACAATCACAGTAATACCGTGAAAGAGTCACCGTGAGGATCAGAGGCACACAGCATGGCCCCTTTTATGAGGCTGAAGGGCTGCACGTGAGCTGACCGTGAGAGCACAGAGGTGAAAACCATGTGAAACGGTGCAAAGGGTGACACAGGTGTGAGTCATGGCACATCTGGGCTGTGTGCAGGTCACAGGCTCTGTGCCCCAGGGCCTAGGCTTGAGTCCCCTCCGCCATGGACTAGCAGGGAGCCCTTGAACCAGTTTCTTCACCTCTCTGTGCCTCAGCTTGCTGGGGTAAGATCCTTGAGATGCACACACTTGGCTCAGGGCCTAGCCGACAGTCAGCATCACTGAGTCACGGCCGTCGCT